AACAAAAACCATTCAACTCAAACCTCATCAACATCAATACAAAACAATTTGAGACAGGAGACTCAGCCTGGTGCTTGCACCAAGCCTGATGACCTGAGTTCGACCACAGGAGCCCGAACAGTGGAAGGAGGGGACTAGATTCCCAAAGTTGACCCCTTGCAATCTCCACACCTGCACCGTGACACACTTGGTGACACACCCTCAAGTAAAGCACAAAACTTATAAAAACTCTTAGCAGATGCCCAGGAGAAAAACCTTGGTTAAGTAGTGTTGGGCCTGGAGAGACAGTTTTAGAGACAGTACAAGTAGCAATTCATAAATGGGAACTTGCAAAGTTCAACTGCATTAAAACGTACACTTCCGCAGTGGAGAGCACTTGCTGCTCGTCTGAGTTCAGTTCCCAGCATCCTCGTGGGAGGGCTCACAGGTGCCTGTATGCTCACTTTTAGCCCTCCGCAGACACCTACACCTTCTCCCTACCCCGCACACATGCATACTTGAATCCAAAATGTATAAAGTCCTTAAAACTCAACAAAACAATCCACTTTTAACAATAAGCCAAGAATCAGAATGGATGGTGTCCTGAATGATTGTCTGTTGCTGTGATAAATACTGTGACTGAAGCACAGCTGGAGAAGGAAAGAGCTCAAGAGCTCGTTACCTCTTACAGGTCAGAGTCCATCATGGAGCAGAACCAGGGCAAGAACATGAGGACAGTAACTGAAGCAGGACCAGGAAAGAGCGGTGCTTACTGTTTATGTGTCCCCTGGCTGGCCTGTACTTGCTCTGTACACCAGGCTGGCCTCACACAGAGATCCGCCTGCCTCTGCCTCCTGAGCGCTGGGATTAGAGTCGTGCTTTCTACAACCCAGGCCCACCTGCCCCAGGAGTGGTATTAGCCACAGTAGGCTGGACCCTCCCATGTCAAACATGAATGAAAGAAAATGCCCCACACACTTGCCTACAGGCCAGTCTGATGGAGGAATCTTCTCCATTGAGGCTCCTTCCCAGATGACTCTGGCTTATGTCGAAAGCTTCTGCACACAGACATGAAAAAAAAGACAGAGGAAGTCAGGCCTGTAATGCCAGCACTCGGGAGGCACCTTGAATATCTGGAGTTCAAGGTTTTCCTTGTCTACATAAAGAGTATCGAATTGGAGGCCAACTGGTTGCCCGAGACCCTGTCTTCAAAGAAAGAAGAAAGAAAATACAGCTTGTCATGGAAGGCCACCAGGCCCAGCAAGGGCCTCCTGGGGGGTACAAGTTACTGTGTAGCAAACAGGCAACAGTGGTTTGTGCTAAAAGCCCTTCATAGGGAGAAATAGCTTCTACCCCCTTCCCTCCTAAGGTCCCAATGACAGACCCAGGCATGACTCCACCAAAGTTCACCCTGGGGAGCCAAAGGGTTTACTGGGCTTCCTTACAGAGGGTAAGACGGTGGTTACCCACAGGGTGTGGGTGCCCCTCCTCAACAGGCTGCACCTCGAAAGCCTTTACTCAGCAGGCTTGAGGGCTTCCTGCATAGAACCGAATGGAGCGCCCCCTCTTCCCCCAGTCTTCCGGGCCATATACTCTAGCTCCTCCCCCAGGCCCTGTACAGTTCGGACAGAGATGGACACAACAGGTGATAGGGAAGATACTCGGGTGACGTCCAAGATCCTCCCCAGCCTTCTGAGAAAGAATGGTGACAGCCAGCCCAGCCAGCATGATACTCTGCGATGGGGCACAGCTCGAAAGCCCCAAGATGGCAGCTGCTTGTCTCGGAGGACAGTAATAACTCACAACACTCTCCACCCCTTCCCTAGGACCACTCCCCCGCCTCGGCAGCGATGACAGACGTCTGACTGTTCTCCAACTCGAGAGGGACACCGAACCCTCATGTCCTTTCGTCACGCCTGTTTCCAGAACTCCGCTGTTGGCACGTCCTGGGTTGGTCCCCCTCCCCCTCCATTTCAAAACACAAACGAGGAAATGGACAGAAACAGATGGGAAAATGTCCTGAGGACGTGGGTACTAACCTACGGCTGTAAACATGTGGGGAGCTGGTACATCACTTACCCAATCCAGGGCAGTTGCTTCCCCGCTGGAGCGGGTGAGTCCCTGGTCACAGGGTTTGGCCTGATTGCCAGGGGTAACCTCCTGTGGAGCGAGCCTTCGGTCCATCCGTAACCGCTGGCACCGCTATTGCACTAGCTGGCACTTCCATTGTGAAGACTGCAGGACCCACAGCCCTTAATTCCTCCCCGGCACAGTTCCTAGCATCTGCTGGCACTTACAGGAGTTAGCTCGCTGGCAGGGCATGCTTCGGGCCCATCCCAGATTTATTTCTCCAAGTCCAGCGGCCACACTGTCAACCTCAGCAACAGGGTCTCACCAGCAGCTCCGAATGCAACCAGCAACTGTGGCTATGGCCCGTGTTGTTTTAGTGGCCCCTAGGGCTTCTGTAGCCAACAACCCCAAGGGAGGTAACGCACTCCTAGCACTGAGATTCCCAATTAACACCTCACGATCTCGGCGGTTGGGGGAGGCACCTGTGCCACCTTCTGGAAACTGACAGTTACAGGTGCAGCCTCCCCAGTCACCTTGAGCATCACCCAACTGTGAATCTCACGAGAGTCCCTCAACACTCAGCTTTGCAGCCTTGCTCCCTGAGGCGCGCTTCCTTGGGTGTGTGCGCATGTCTGTTAACTGAGTCTCCAAGTGGAGAAAACACCCAAGGGTGAGGGTCAGGCTTCTTGGAGCCTCTTCACCTATTGGTCCCCTAGTCCCCCCTCCCCCACCTCCATCCACACACAAACCCAGCAGGCCAACACCTGCATTTCTCCTTCTCTTTCATGCAGCTTAGTAGGAGCCCAGTACAGAGGCGCCAGCCTAGCGTCCCTTTCTGGCTGCGAGTCCTTCCTTCCACCTGCATACAGGCTGCCTCCTCCCTAGATCTCTAACTGCCCACAGCAGCATCCAAGTTGCCCCCTGGAGATGTTCCTGACACCTCCGCTCCTCATGCACTACCCCGGGCTCCCGGGGCTTGCAATAGCTGCTGCAGACCTTCAGCTGTTTAAATAAACAACTCCACTTCCGGAGCAGACCCCGCCCATCAGGCAGGGACGCCACCCCACGCCACCTGGACGAAAACCGTCACCTGGGATTCCCCCCACCGCCAGCCCGGGTGGGGCCCCGCCACTATGCCACAGACCCCGCAGGGACGAACCGCCAAAGTGTCCTCTGCACACCTCGTTCGCCCGCCTCCTCCCCTCCCCGACCCCACTCCATCTCGCCCACTCCCCTTATCAGGGACCACACCACTGCTCTCCCCAAACTTCCTAATGACGACCCCAAAGGTTACTGAAGTCTCCTGGGGGGGATAAGCAATGTTTACCCTTCTCCCGGGGTCCCAGGGACAAACCCCAGCGTTGCTCCGCCGAAGTTCTCCGTGCTGAGACAGTGAGTTGATGAGCCTCATTGAAGAGCCCAGGTGGGGGAGGGGGTGCCGCAGTCCCCGACAGGCAGCACCTGGGTAAGGCAGCACCTTACCCAGCAGCGACGAGGCCAATCAGCAGGCACAGCCGGGATGGTCGTTCACGGAGGGGGCATGAGCCGAGAGCCCCAAGATGGCAATTGTGCGGGGGACGGGGGACAGAGCTGCGCTACTTACTTAGGGATCTCCTTAGGCCGTAAGGATGGAGGCAGAAACCTTAACCCCAAAGCCAGGCTGTGCCAGGTGCCAACCGGCTAAGCGTGGAGCGCTCCCTCTTCTAGCCTCAGAACTGTTGCCTTTTGTTTTGAGGCTGCGTCTCACGACATAGCCCTGCCTGGCCTGGAGAGACCAGGCTGGCCAGGAACCCACAGAGATCCACATGCCTTGCCTCTTGGGTGCTGGGATTAAATGTGTACACCGCGGAGCCTGACATTCAAAACTTTATTTATTTAGAGACAGTTTCATATTCTGTAGCCCAGGCTGCCCCGACATTCACTATGTAAGCCAGATGGCCTCTGACCCCTGGCAACCTCCTGCCCCAGTGTTGTGACAGCCAGGATTACAGGTGAGCCGCCATGTCCGGCTCTTGTCAACTGGATCGACAGTCACATAGAAACACAGCTCTGGGGGTGGGGGTAGGGGATGGGAGGGGGGGTTGGAAAAGTTCCTGAAGAGGGAAGAGCCCCCCAGGATGTGTGTGGCGCCACTGCATAACTTGGGGTCCGGGAATGAAGGAAACGGGGAAAGGGAGCTGCGCCCAGCCATCATCTCTCCTGGCTTCCTGCCTGACAGACACAGTGCAGCCAGCTGCCTCACACTCCAGCCACGACAGACGGACGGACAGACGGACAGCCAGCTGCCTCACATTATGAACAAAACCGTGCCTTAAAGGGCTTCTGCCCGGCGTTTTGTCAGAGCAGAGGAAGGGCATAGTCCACACTCACACTCGGCAGCCAGAGATCAGGTGTAGGCAAGCCGCAACCTGTCCGGAGCTCAGAAGCCTTTCAGCATTTTCAAATGATTGGAGGTAGAAGAAAAAGCCATCTGCAATCACATCATGTCGGCTCCCGGCCGGCCTGTCCGCTTAGGGCTTGTCCTAGGCGGCAGGGCTAGGCTGGAAAGGTCTCAAAGCCTGAAATATTTACTGAGCAGAGCTGGCAGCCTTGTGTGGTTAGTCAGCCACAGCCTCTGCACCACACTGAGGGCATCATCGGAAAGAAGGGAAAAATTAAAATAGGGAAATTTACACGACACACCCAGCAAAGAACCACTTTATTACAACCGGCTACAGGCCGCCACACGCTTCCTTCTCCCTCCCAGGAATGAGTGTCCTGGGAGGATTCCTGATGATACCCCAACAAAGCCGCGTTTTGTAAAGATGTATTTATTATGTATACACTGTTCTGCCTGCACGTCAGAAGAGGGCACCAGATCTCATTAGAGATGGTCGTGAACCACACCAGGTGGTTGCTGGGAATTGAACTTAGGACCTCTGGAAGAACCAGTTTCTGACCAGCCCACGAAGTTGATTTAAAAAATAAATTTATTCCTACTTATGTGTATGCCTAGTGTCCAAAGTCAGAAAGTATCAGGGAATTAGAGTTACAGACAGTTGTGAGCCTTCACGTGGGTGATGGGAAACCAAACTGGAACCTGGGTCTTCTGCATCTGCAGCCAGTGGGGGAGGGAAGAGAGATTTCAAACCTCGAGACTAGGCAACCGCTCTCTCCCTCCGCCTCCAAGACTTTGTATTCCGTGTAGCCTCTGGAGGGCTCCTTGGAAGGTGGGCAAGATGGCGAGCATTCGGAAGGCCAGGAGGAAGGCAGGCACTCACTCAGGCCACGGTAGGAGCCAGAAAAACAGTCTGGTTTCCTCAGCTTTAGCAAAGAGGATGAGGCCTGGCACCCATCCTGCAAGAAGGGTAACCGTGGGGGCTGTGTCGGAACGCTTCGGTCCTCACCCCCCCCCCCAGGCAACCCCGCCGCTCTGGCCCCCTGAAAAAGAACTCTGCTGAAGTTACAGCCACCGCGGGGCGTGCCTTGCACCTGGCGCGGTTACCACCAGGCTGCGGACCTGACTGTGAACTGCCGCCGGCTGGGACCGCCAACCACCGGGTGGGGGCTCGGAAGTGGCAGAAGCCGGGCGGTGGGGGCCCTCCAGGCATTAATCCCGAGAGGGAGAGAGAGGGCCCCGTACCAGGGGCGGCTGAGCTGGCGTTCTCTGTAACCGACCTGCGGAGGGAGGCCAAGCCCCGCCGCCGGGAACCCAGGCGAGCGTGCCGCGGCCGCGGCCGAGCGCCCAGCTCCCCACGCTGCCCGGGCCCGGGGGCTCCAGGGCCGGGGGGCGGTGCAGGGCCGGGGCCCGGGGGGGGGGGGGCGTGCGCCGCACCGTCTGCCGGCTCTGCGGGACCCACGAGGACCCCGGCCTCAGCGGCTTTTGGGTGCGGGGTCCCCCGCTGGCTCACCTGCAGGAGCCGGCTCCGGGCGGGACACGGAGGCGCCCTTCCTCCCCCTCCCCCCGGCTCGGGACTGAGCGTCTCGACCTTAGGAAGACGATAGTCGGGGGGTGGGGGCGCCGCAGAGGCTCGCGCGGGGGCGAGGGGGACTCGTGAGGGGGTCTCTGTCCCCCGTGCTGGTGGACGTCACCACAAACGTGCTGGGCCTGAGGAAAGGCCCGAGGGAGGGCCGCGTCCACGCAAGCCGACGGGGGCAGAAGTGTGCGCGGCCCCGCGCAGTGTAGGGCGGATGGCGGCCCCGTCGTTACGGAGTGATTTTGCCCCTCTTGACCCCGCGTCCCCGAGGGTTCCCCGGCGCGTTGGAGCCAGCAGCCCTCGACAGCCGCTCAGAGCACTCACTGCACGTGGCAGGGCCCGGGTGGGTGTCTGCCCTGACCTCCCCAGAGGAACAGGGTGGTTCGCAGGGAGCTCACGCGTGAGGCTGAGGGCGAGGACACGTGGGCACCGAGGAGGGCAGCAGGCACACTGGGGCGCGGCGGTGGCCCGGCCGCCAGGGGGCGCCCCGCACAGTCTCCACGTCCCACCCTCCTCGGCTGGGACCCTCCTGCCCTCCAGAGGGTCCATCCAGAGCCCCTCCCTGTGGGACACGGCGCCTGCTGCCTCATTGGCAGTATAGCTTGTCACCAAAAGGCGCTGCCACGTTCCCGCGGTAGCAGTGGCTGACTCCTAGCTGTTTAACCGCCCCGTTCCCCAGCTTCCCGATGGGATCCTGCCTGTCCTCTGCGGTCCCCAACTCCTCTGCCCATTCTCTGGGGTCAAGGAACAGCAAGCAGTTTCACCGGATAAGGAGAGTTCCAGCCTAGGGATGGTGGCGCAGCGACCTGCACCCCAACAGCTAAAGGCCCTGCTGTGAAGCCCAAGAGGCAAGCCACTCTGCCTTGCTTTTCACAGCCCCGTGCACAAAGCAACCCCGGAGAAGCTGCCGGGTGACCCGGAGGTTCACAGCAGGCAGATGCTGCCACACCAGGGTGGGTGGGTGGCCTGGGCCCTGCCCCGCTCTACGGCTTATTCTGTGCACAAAGATGCCATTTTCCAGCCTTACTGCCCAGGGCGGTAGAGAGGCAGATAATTCCCCCAAATAGGCACTTATCTCTTGGCTTTGTTTGGGGGGCTCCTGCTGCGACCCGCCAGCTGGGAGCACTTGGCAGGAGGAGAGAGAAAGACAGCCCTAGGGACACAGGGAAAGAGGACTGTGCCTGGTTTCCAGCCAAGGATGGTTTCCAGCAACAAGCCTGCAGCCTCTGCAGTCACCCCAACAGTTAAAGGCCCCACTGTGAAGCCTGAGGCAGCTCATGTTCAAAACAACCTCTAAAACATCGACCTGGCAGGGCATAACCGGTGGATCCAGCCCCTTCACTGGCTCCCAGGTTGTGACTCTTCCCAGCCCTTGCTCCTTTGGACTTCCTGGCCTGCCCCCTCCAGTCCCTGTTGACCAGGCCAGGGGGAGAGAGACCTGCTCTGAGCTGGCCCAGTTGGAACCTTTGGTGGGGGGGAGCTGAGCCCCGCATGGCTCTGCCAGGCCTCCTGAATTCTTGGGAGGGGTAGCTGGGACTCCCCTGGGGGCAGCTGCTGTATCCACAGCCTTACACGGTGGACAGGTCTGTTGTCCTGGGAGGGAAGCCCCTGGAAGGGCCCAGAGCTTGGCCCTCAACAGCCAGCCCAGGGAAGTAACTAAAGAAAATGACTGGCCCCAGCATCTCACTTCACTATGGTGGGAGGGGATGTGGGTGGTTCGTGTGTCACCAAGTTCTGCTTTCCCCCGGCCTCAGAGGCCCACAGAGTCCACACTCCTTTTCCCTTGACTCCATCAGCAGCCTAAGGACACCTAGGAGCCCAGGGTCCCCAGAGCAGAGCTTCCAGAGTGGGCATGGACGAAGTAAGCATGGCTACCACCCTCTAAGGGCCTGTGCTCGGGATGTGACTGGCTCAGAAGCCTGGATCCCAGCTTTGCCTGGCATTGGCAGGGCCACAAGGTCAAGGCTTTCCCCCTCTCTGGGGCTCTGCCTTCAGGAGCTGGAGCCTGGGATCACCTTGTGAACTGTGGCTCACTGAGCTGCTCCCAATCTGGCTCCACCATTCTGCAAAGATGGGACAGAAAGAAGCATGCTCCGTCCTTCGCAGAACTCTGACGTCTTAGCTGACTGAGCTGATGCATTTCTGGGTTAAAGTCACAAGGAACAGGGTGTACAGCTCACACAGCCACCAGCTGTGTCCTCTAGAGATGGCTCTGGCAGCACAGACCCTCCCGGTTTACCTCAAGTGAGGATGAGAGATTCCAGGCCCTGGGCATGTTGGGGCTGTGTGTGTGTGTGTGTCACACTGCGCCCTCCCCCAGGCTGGCCTGGGGTGATGGTGTCACATTTCCAGCTTGTACCTCCTCCACGAAGGCTCCTCCCAGTCCAGAAGGGAAGGCAGGCATCCAGGTCACACAGAGGCCAGGGCAGAATGAGTGAGATCCAGACCTCCTGGAGATTATCACTGTCCCCACTCAAAGGCCACCGGCCAGCCACACATCTGCAGAGACAGGATGGAACCACCAGGCTGGGAGGTCCCTTTGCAGGGGAGGCCTTGGAATGCCTGCCTCTTCAGCCCTCACCCGGGGTTTCACTCGCCCTCTCAGCAGCTCTCAGGGAGAATCAGACACAGGGTTACACCTGGGAAAGGGCCCTGTCCTCACCAACCCCTTCACAGCTCCAGCCGTGCCTGAAGCCACGCACAGAGAGAGGCCAGGCAGGCTGTTGGCAAGCACTTTGCGCCAGGTGTTCAACACGTGTGCTCTCACTGCAACTTTGAGAACGCTCTGTGGTGCTGTGTGTGTTCGTGTAAAGATGGGGAAACTGAGCCACAGGGAGCTTAGGCGTTCTTTCTCTCCATCCCTCCCTCCTTCCCTTGAGCCAGGGCCCAGGGTGGAGCATAGGAGAGGAGTGAAGGAAGACATAGCCTCACACCCATTTCTCTGGATTGGAGGGCCAGCTGGGACACACATTCCCCTGAGCACAAGGCTCCAGGAAGGAGCAGGTCGGAACCAGCCTTGCGCCTCAGACCTCAAGGCCGGCCAGGGCCCCAGAAAGAGAGCGATCCCCAAGAGCCTTCTGGGCTCAACGGTGCGCAGAAGAGGGGAGTCCCGGCCAGGAGCTGCAGCAAGAGCCCAGAGCTCTGGAGGAGCTTGAGGTGGGAAAGGGGAATCGGCGAAAAAACCAGAAACTGGTGAGCCCTGCCTGGCGCCGGAGCTCAGACGGGGCTGGGGACCTAGACAGATTCAGCCACACCGGCCAGGTGAGAGGGGCAGGAGCAGGCTCGAACCAGAAGAGCCCGGGAACCTTTTGGAGAGCTGGGGCAGTTCCCAGTGAAACGCTGCTCGGGTGCAGACCAGTTAGCAGGGGCAGGCAGAGGCTAGACCACCGGGACTCCGAAGAGATGGAGTGGCCTGGAAACGAAAGTGGCTCCAGGCTGGTTCTAGATGGAGAGGGAAAAGGGGCGACCGCAGGGGAGCGAGAGCATGAGGACACCCGAGTGTGCTCTGGTGGTGAGTGGGGCCCCCAGCGGCGTAGAGGTTGGGATTCAGGAACTGATGTGGAGGCCCAGACAGCTGAGAACGTCGCTTGTGCCCAGGGCTCGTGGCCCAGGCTGGGGGAGGGACACTGTTGGCCAGAAGCGCCTGGAGGCAGGGCTGTCACCCAGAGGCCCGGCGAGCGGGATTAGCGAAGGCAGAGGCCTCTGGCGTCGGCCTCCGAGAGCAGAGGGGAGAGCGGCGTCGGCGGGGCAGGGGCCCTGCGGCCGGGGGCTGCCGGCGTCCGGGGGCAGGGGGGCGCGGGCCGCGCGCAGCCGGCTCTCATTAGCGCGGGCCGCGGGCTAATCAATCCCAGGCGGGGGCTCCCGGGCTGCGTCCGCATCATGGAAACTGGCCGCGCGCCCGGCGGAGCGAGCGGGGCCGTCGGTGGGGCCGGGCCGGGCGCCTCTCCGTCGAGGGCGCGCGCGGGCGGAGGCGGCTCGGCGGGCCCGGGGCGGGGCGCGGCGGGGGTCGCTCGGTGCTAGGCCCGGGCCGGGCGCCGCCGCTCCTCTCCGGGAGCCCGGGCCCGCCTCCGGCCGAGAGCGAACGCCCCGGTCCCGGGCCGGGGCGCACGGCCTCCCGGAGCGGCTCCGGCGTGCGGCCCCGACCCCGGAAGCCCACGGAGGCCTCGGGCGGAGGAGGCTGGAAAAGGAGGCCAGGCGGCGGGAAAGGGGGATGATTCATCCCCGGGAGCCCGAATCGGAAACACCGCAGTCTGGGACCAGCCCTGCCCGGGCCGACGAGAGACCCGGGAGGAGAGTCCGGCCGTCCGGCGAGGCCCCGCGCCCGGCACCGGCAGTCCTCTGCCTCCAGCCCCGGCCCTAGCCCGGCCGCGGGGAGGGGGGAGGGGGAGGCCTCTCCCGGAGGAGTGGAAAAGAATCCTGGACAAAGTCCGCCGATGCCTCCTCGGCGCTGACTGGCTGGTGTCGGCCGGGGCGGTTTTTCCCAGAGTCTAGCTCAAGTCTCTCCTGCTGCAGCTCCAGAGCTGGCTGAGCAAGTCTGCAAGGAGTGGGCGAGCGAGCAGAAGCCGGAGTCGGAGACACCCCCGGCGGCCCTCGCTGCGGTATGTGAAGCGCAGTAGTGTGTGTGTGTGTGTTTGGGGGGGAGGTGGGTTGCGCGCGCGCGCCCCGCGGCCCCGGGCGGTCCGAGCGCCCCGCCCCCTCCCCCGGTTACCTCGGGGCGGCCACGTGCGGGGGTGGGGTCGGGCCCGGTGGTACTTACCCCGGTCGCGGCTGCAGCGGGGAGGCGGGGGCGAGCGGGGCGCGCGCAGGCCGCAGGAGCCCCGCAGCCCCCTCCCTGCGCGCTGGCTCCCGGCTCCGCTGCGGAAAACCCGAGCGGGGGCGGCTCCCCGCCTCGCGGGCCCCGGGAAAATCCGGGGGCGGCGGCCAGGGATCTCGAAGCGGCCGGCGGAGGCGGCGCCCCCACCCCACCCCCTCCCCGCGCCTCCCTCCCGCGGAGCCCGGCCCGACGGGTCAGCGTCTGCCTCTCCGCCTCTCCCCGCAGGGCG